TGCTGTAAAATTATTATCAATGCTTTAAGTGTAGCTACCAGTTCGGCCATCAATTTTGATTTCATTCCTTTAAGTCGCACACTCAATCCTTTTGAGCAGACCCCTTTTTTTTCACACCTAATGCCTTTTTAATCAGATATCACGACTTTTTGTCAATACACACAAACAAACCACACCAAGTAAGAAATTGAAACTCGAGAGTAACCAACATTAGCCTTAGGATTGCAACTCTATCATTTGGAACAGATCTATACTTTAGAGAACCAACCAGATTCTTTAAGTTACATGGTGGTAGTTTTTCCTCTCTAAAACAGTGTTAATAACTTTATGTATAATAATGCCATGGAATCTGGATTAACAGTTTTTTTCATCACCCACATGCTCTCGGTACAGCAGTATCAAGCATTGTTATTTATGCTAATTGCTGAAGTTAACATCACATGATGCTAAATGCTCTTTAATTAGGTGAATTTCATAGTTAATACATTCTTAAAAGTTGGCAATGAATAATAACCATTTACCTGTATGATTCTTTTGAAAGTTTGAGCTAGAAACTGCTAATCTAGTTTGCTTGGCATAACCAATTCTTATGTATTTGCATGCCATTTCATTGTATAGTTTTGCTGCTTTAAGTCAGGCTTATTTAATTTGAATGACAAAAAACTAAAAACTATCTATTTTTACACATAGGTGAAGCTGTAGTAAAAAGCTTAGACTAATAGCTGACGTGATGTTTTACATAGGCATGTGCAAAAATTGTGGTCAAATTCGAGTAGCTCTTGTTAAATAACTTTACACATGTGATTTATATTTAGATCAAATTTGACACCTAATTGTAGGTTTTTAAGGTCTTTCAGAGTACTAAGTTTGAAAAAAAAAATCCAAAAAAGTTAAATATATTTTTCTGTCAAATAAAGTTTCCATACTTTCGTTGCAAAGAAAAAAAAATAGGAAAAAAATTTAATAAAAATTGGATATTTTATATCTTGTGTATTTCTTAATGGATTACCTTGACATTTGGTTTGTGAAGTAAGGATCCAGTAGAGCACATCCACAGGAAATGTGTGATAGTTTGGATTATCACAGTGTGTCTTGTAGTTTGTTTTGACCACATGACACACTGCCATGTGTCTTGATATCTATCTATCTATCTCTCTCTCTCTCTCTATATATATATATATATATATACACATTTCTTTATTATGCTTAAATTTGGTCAGATATTTTGAGTTAGCTGTTCTTTGTCAGTAAGAATTAGCATACATAGGTACTATAGAAAACATTGCATAATGTATGCTTATAACTTGTAATTTTTTAAAAGCTCTTGTGAGTAACATGATATTTCTTTGGCAAGCCAAGTTGGATACGTTTTTTTTTCATTATATGTATAGGAATGTTTGTTATTCCAAGCCGAAAAACAAATTGAACTATCATGTGTGTAGTGTTTGAGTTTTAACTTATTACATTAAATTGTAACATGTTATGCCTTACTAGATTTGTTTTTCTAATTTTTAGTACATGATGGCAAATTTGCTGAAAGATATTTCTTTTCAATCAGAAAAAGATATGATACTCAACTGAAAACCTTCTACAAATAAACTGAATGAAAATATCATTTCTTAGGCAGAGTTACATTTGCAAGTGGAGGATTTACGTGAAGCCTTATGGGAGGTCTGTGATAAACGGAAAGAACATCTAGAATCAGGATTTTTAGCATTAGTAACTGAGAAATGGCTGGAAATCCACTCAGCAATTCTTACAAACTACTTTATCTTTCTAATTCAGGTAAAATAATGTTACCTGTATAATATTTAACAGGATTTTATTGACATTGTTCAAAAATGGCAGCTATTGCATTGAGATAATGAAACAGTTTCTCTTTTTTTTTTGTTAAACAAGATTTTATTTGTATCATAAGGTCTTAAATTTTCTCTACAGTGTAATAACTTTTTCACACTACATTTTTTTAGGCAACTAATAGTGCATAAATGACAAAAAAATCTAATTTTTGTTCTAATCTAAAAAGACTTTAAAATTGGCTATAGGAATTGAGTAAAACAAGAATTTCCATTATTAATACAAAAAAAAATTCAGCTGCTTTGGTGACTATGTTTTATACAGTGTACATTTATAAACCTTTGTAATTTCCATATATTTTAAGAAACTTAAAAATCACACATTAGTAGGTTTGAGCATTTTCACCATGTGTAGATTGTCCCCTGTGCTTATGCTTATGCATTTCATAAAAAAATGTTTTCAAGTTTGTTCCCTATGTGATTTTAAGTATTCTTCATGGTCATTACACTAATATGCAAAATATATGTGTAACTGTTACTGTAAAATCAAATCTATTAATTTTCTGTATAACAAATCGATTTATGTGTAGACTGAACTGGATCGTCACCAGAACATGGATAATATTCTTTGTGACTATTATTACACCATCATGGGAAAAGTGCTCTCTGACAGTGGAACACTGTGGCCAAGACTCTATCTTGCCAATGTAAGAATTTTTGCAGTTATCTTATCTAATCCATTTTTGTTCTGAAGTGATGGTCATTGCTATTTTTATAGGTTCTAGTCCATTTATAGTTTTGGTATATTAAGGTTTTTGGACAATGTAGGTATTGTAGATATCAAAAATTTTAAAAACAAGAATAATATGAAACAAAGGTATTAAGGGGCTTACTTGTGCTATTGATAGGATGTATTCTACATATATTTAGTCAGAATCTAACAAACAAAGTTTAGGCTAAAAGTTTCATTGCATAGAGATCAGTAAGAGTAATATGTATTAATAGTATGAAAGATCAATATTTTTTTAACAATTGAAATCAAATAAATAATCATTAGTAAATAATTAAAAGTACAACAATTTTTCTTTACACAGAACATTTATTGAAGTCATAAATGGTAAGTTTTATTCATACTTTCTTTCTTTCAGGGGCTTTTATCTTTTTTTATCACATGGATCCCACTCTGTGGCGAGTGGTGCCTGACCAGGTATTATTTAACTCTAAATCTGTACTGTACAACCATGTTGACTCACACTTTATTTTCCATGGCTTTGCACGCTTACCGCCAAGATGGGGCATTCCACAAGATCACTTGATGGTGAATAACCTCACAATATTTTGCTTTATAAAAATGCCCATCCCTGACTGTAAAACCCCCAGGCTGTAGGAGTAAAGCAGAAGGGGATTGCTACCCATCCCTGCCATGCCTCAAGTGAACAACTTGGTATGGTCTGCTTTCCAAAATAAGTTTCTGTGGTCACCCATTGCACTGTCACCGATGATGATGTTCCTCCGGACTATCCACTGCATTGTCACCCTCCTCTCTTTGAGTGGAGCATGGGAGTCCTTACCACTTTCCAGTTCCAAGCTGCTGGTGTGGTTGACCATGAAGGCATCCTCCTAAATGATTATCACAAAGAAAGGGCTAAAACCATTCAGTTGAGAGTAGGGTGGTGCAGATGAGACGTGGCCTCCAGAGAAGTTGAACCATCACCTTGCTGGTTGATGTGGCCTCCTGATACCATTTACACAACCACTGGAGTTGAACTGTTGCCTTACTGCATAATGTGGCCTCCAGAGGAGTTGAGCTGTCACCATACTGGATGATGTGACCTCCTGATCCCAGTTCCACATCCACCTGAGTTGAGCTGTCACCTTCCTGGATGACGTGGCCTCCTGATACCATTTACTTACATATGGGAGTTGAGCCATCTCCTTACTGGATGACATGGCCTCCTGATATCATTTACTCACACATGGGAGTTGAGCCATCTCCTTACTGGATGACATGGCCTCCTGATACCATTTACGTAAACACTGGAATTGAGCTGTCGAAATTCCAGTTCACACCTTCGATTGTGAGACCTCATCCTATCCTCGTGTGGATGTTGGTACCCCACTAAGCTAAGAGGTTTTGGAATAGAGTGAACCAATCACCATAAGTCCTCACATGAGTTGATTCCATGTGATTGACATCCTTTTGATACCAGATGTCAATTCCCAGATCGATAGATCAGCGATGATTCTTGTGTCATACCTAGAAATTGGTGTGGGTCGTAATCCCTGATTCTTAGGTTAGAGGTGAAGATGGTCTGATCCTCATCCTACCCTGGTGTGGATGTCAGTACCCCATGAGGAGGTTTTTGATGTAGCTGACTTCCGAGTATGATCTGCTGTGCCCTAGCCACTCTACACCTCTCAATTTCTGCCCTTATGTCTTATACATTCCAAACATGGGCGAAGAGTATACCTGGCTCAAAAGTGGTGCGGTTCCACTCTTCTGATCTTCAAACCTATCTCTCTCATTGTCAGGGGCATCCTTCAGATGCTTTCAAGGGTACTTCTTTTGTTCCCTTGCACCGGCCCCTCCTTCTTCTCAATATAGGATTCTAGCTAATCTTGTGAGATGAGATAAGTACCATTTCGAGAGTTATAATTTTCCTGTACTGAAATTGTATTTCCGATAGGTACTTACCTCTGCCCACCCTTTCTCCCCACTTCTCCAGTGATCACACCTGCAAAACTTCGAAGTAAAGGTTTGGTAGAGGAGTGTAGAGGAAGTCACCTGTATCACGTGATCATATCATGCTACTATTGGTTAAGAGATGATGCATGATTGACATGAGAGACATGTTGGAATATATATAGTTCACATATAGAGGGCAGCATTGAAAGAGAATAGCTAATCTTGTGAAGGGAGGTAAGTACCTATTGGAAATACATTTTCAGTATAGGAAAATTATAACTTCAGTTGGTCTACATAGAGTTTTTTTTTGTTTATCCAAAACTTAATATTCTGGAAGTTATTTCTAGCATAAAAACACTGACTGATATTACGAAAGCAATGTCTAACAGGAAAACACTAATATTTTGAAAGTGATTTCAACTAAGATAATATTCTAAGCATCAACAAAGTAACTGTATTTGTTTTATGTATAATTACTCAAATTACTTCTTGACAGACTAGGCTTCAAAATTCCAACCAAAATCTCTGTAAATTAATTACACAGCATTTGTCTTAGACAATTATATTTCACTACAGCTTTATATTGTTACTTATTCCTTCATATTTATAAAACATCCTCTGTGTAAGACTTGTCTATATAGATTAACCAAACAATATGTATTTATAGGGACATATTAAATGTACTTGTATGCACTCATTTTTAATAAAGTGTATATGACAAACTGTTAGCGAATTGATATGTGCAGTTTTAAGTATCAGATATTCAAAAGCAAAATACATTAAAAAAAAAGAGCATTTAAATAACTTTAGGATAATGTAAGTAAAGCTCATTTGATATTATAACTATGCACAAAAAAACTGAAAATTTAACTTTATCAATACTGTGTCTTTTAAATGGTTTATGATGATTCTAATAATGTGTGTGAAGATAATATATATTGTTACGACAGCGGAGGTCACGTGATGCTAGTAACACGTCATGCGCTCTAGAACGTTCATGAAACCTCGGGAGGTTGCTAGATTTTGGTATTCTTGTACATATAAGACGGTCAGGATGTGACGGCAACAATGTGTAATTGAACTGCGGACAGAGAGAGACGTATTATTGAATCGAGCACGTGAGTCATTCGTTGTGAATTATAGCGTTTGTTATAGCGTGACTGTGAAAATTAAGTGTATTGCAAAGTTGTATTCAGAAAGAATAAACCAGTTTTATTTAAGAAAGGATTTGTATCGCTAAAGTTTCTTCGGAAAGAATTTTTACGGAAAATTAACTAACGAACGGAGGCGTAACAATATATTATTCTGCCAGCTTAGTCATCTGGTCCATGTCTTTTGGTGCTATCTCATTCAGGAACAGTGACATTCAACTTAGCATATGATCATGAACTGTTCACGTATTAGTAGATTTGCTAGTCCTTCTAAAATATCTTCACACTTGGCCATGTCAGTCCACCTTGTGAAATATCACCATAGACATGCTACAAACTGAAATACAGTTTCTCTAGTATCAGATCTGACTTTTCTGAATTTCCGGCAAAACCTTCCTTGGTAAGTTCAAAGCATTTCAGCAATGCCACATTTAACTTGTCTGTGAGAAGGGGGGCGGAGACAGACTGCCCATTCACCTTTGTCCCAGGTCTTATTTTGGGTGAATCTTTCATATCTCTCCAGGAAAGCGTTCATGTCGTCTTTCTGTTCATCAAATTTGGGTAGCTTTGGTCCTTCCTCTTTCTGTTAGGTGAGCTTAGTGATCTTAGTTTGTGTCTTTATTCTCCCTATTTCTAGTCTCTCCGTTCTCCATTTGTGCTCTTATTTTCTCTATTTCTAATCTCTCCTCTCTCTTTTTTATTTTTCTTCTTACTCAGTTTATATTCTTATTTTCTCTTCCTCCCTTTTCTGTCTCTCATCCTCTGTTGATACTCTTCTCTCTCTCTAGTTCTTGTTTAATCAAACTCTCGTAGGTTATCTTTTAGTTCAAGTCATTCACCTCACACTATACATTATTTATCAAAGTCATTCGACGTGGTTATAAAGCATGATTGTAATCTCTACACTTTTTTCGCCACACAAAATCTGCGTGTATTATAGACCTATTTCTGCTGTCGTTCACGTCTTATTCTAACTCCGTTTATCACTGTGTAATTCTGGCCGGCTTGCTAAATGTCAGGTTTTATAGGACTAGATTTTTTTACAGTAGGCGTCTATAACTTGTTGGCCATAAATTTCACCAATAAACAGACAGTACAGAATCTGTATCATAAATCTCGTATTAAACTTAAATGAAACCGTCGTGTATATCAAACAATGCAGTATTAACTATGTTATAGAGAAGTTTTAAAATTAATTCAAAAGCCATCGTTTTTTCGTTCTGAAGGATTTCTCTTGTGGGTGGTTATTTAATCTACTGATTTTCATACTTCGCTGAAATTGTGAATGCATATTTTAGTATCATTATTATTAATATTTTTGTTTCACAAGCGTAAAGCAAAATCGGCTGGACATTTTGCACCAAAAGCTATACAAGTATACTATATGAAAGCAAGTGAACGTCTTTTACGAGTACAAGTGTAATAAAGAAGACTGCGAGCTCCTGGCAAACGCCTCCTACATCGGAATGACTACCACAACCCTGTCAAGACGCCTAACAATGCACCTACAAAATGGAGCCATCAAAGAACACTGTGC